CCTCCAAAAGACAGATGGGAAGTCTCGCTACGCAACAGTGTGCAGTCCACACAAACAAAAAGACACGATAAACTATTCATATAATTTTATAAATCACATTTTGAAATTTTAGTGAAAAACATACATTGAAGGTCTATATAACATGCTGCACATGACCATTACTTTTGAAAATACCTTTTGACCCTGATTTGTTTGTCCTGATTCTTCAAACTGGCACCACTGTTGATATCTTGTGGCGATTCGTCTACATGTCGTCCGGCACCTTGCGTAATTTCTTTTTTCATCATACTATACAATTTTTTTTGCAACTTTTGTCTTTACTACGTTTTACACCTTGTGATTTGCTTAAATACTCTCATTTATACCTTATTTATGCGCGTTCCTGCTTGAATATCCATCTTTTTTCTTCGTTGACATTAATATTAAAAAATCTTTTATTTGAGCAATGGCTAATTTCTTGCTATTCTTGAAATTTAGATTTCTTTGGCTGTTCTTGCCCACCCACGGCAAGAATGTGTGAGACGGAGAAGCATTCTGAAATCAAAAGCGGCCAATTTATGATTAGCAAGCTGGACGACTCTGATAGTGAGAATGGAGAGTCGGAATCACATGAAGAATTGGAGTCTTCATCTTCAGATCGAAATTCTGGCATTCCAGCGTTTGATACGCTTCAGTCTCTTTTTAAGAGTCTCTCGCTTGCCTATGTGGAGACCGTTACCAGTCCCAGGTGGAGTCATTTCAGAGGTGCTGGCTTTGCCTTGAAGCAGAAGGTTCGCTTGAATAATATTATTTGGCGTGAATATCATATGCAATGTAAGTTCTCTATCTGATGTCCAATAAAGTCTCCCTTAGATGTTAAGCAACGGCTTCCTGTTATTGTGAAATTTCAAGTGCCCTCTCCTCAGACCTCAGGTATAAAGATTCAGTCTCCGGTTATGGACGGAAAGTTATGGGATCGGCATTGTGCCAAACTTTCAAGTGAATATCGCCGCTGGCGTACATATTACATTAGTCATCTCCGCACGAAAACTCCTAATACCAGCCGCTCCGACAAACGTCGCTTAGATTTTGAACTACTGGTGGACTTCCCCTCGAAGATTCAATACGTCGACGACAAAGATATTTTCAATGATGTCTCAAATTTTTCTGGTGTTGGTAGTCCTCGCTTTATTGATGAATTAATGAAGGACTTTGATGGTAGTCTGGACCTCTTCCTTGATCAGCCCTTCCCCGATCCCCGTGACGTGTCCATGCTCGGTAACTCGGATATCATGCAGCCAGCCCTGACTCAGCTGCAACCAAACTCGGAGAACTACCGTAGTGATCTCATTGCGGGTCTCCTTCAGCAACCAGCCATGCCTACCATCATGGAAGATGAGTATGGAAACGCTAGCAACTATCAGCCTTCCACCTATGCTTCTCAGAATCATTTCTCCTTCCGTCAGTCCAACTCGCCGCAGGTCACTTCAAAGCCTACTTTTCGCGCCTACTCTCCTCCCCAACCTACGGTGCTTCGGGAATCCGAGTACTGCTATGGTTCTGCTGTCCGCAAACGGTTTCCAGCATTACAACAACCACCGCCACCGCCACCGCCACCGCCACCAACCACCTTTGCTCCAAAGGCTCTCCGATTTGTGGATCATAGGGAAGAAGCTTGCACCACGGGTAAATCGAGGAATAACCTGACTCTACTGAACGCATTGCTACAGAAACCGGGGCCAGGAGTGCGAGAGCGGCACCATTCAACCTCCTCCCCCTCCTCTCCGGAAACGACATCGGTGGTGGCGGGTGGGACGACAAACTCGGTGCATTTTAAAAGGCAGGTCAGTATGTCTCCTGCCAATGCTCTCATTGTTGATCTTTCCAAGGAGCAAATGGCCTCACCCTCCCCGGGAGTGTACTTGGATAAGAGTTTGACTGGATTTTCCGACGCTACCCATGTAAGTTCGCATTCCTCCTTCACTAAAATAACCTTCGTCAAATGGCCCCATGGAAATCCTGAAATTGTCATTCTTTTATTCTCGTCTTTGGCGATGCAGATGGGGTTCGATTAGAATTGCTCATTGGTGATTCGATTCTCAATTTTATCTCAGCTTTCCTTACTAATCAAATTCGATGGCTTCAACACCGTATACCTTAAGAATTGTTTGTTTTGTTTTTGTTTCGTAGAAGTTCTTCATCCACCTCGAGAGCTGATTTTATTGCAGCTCTCTGACTTCAAGTGGGGAGTCTAATGAACCCACGTTCCATAATTTCGAATAATGGCATTAAACAGTTTTTTACTACATAGGTTTTTCAATTGCGTAAAGTTCCAATCAATTATGTTTCAAAATAGATTTTTCTGAACCCAGTCAGACCCAGACTGACTCCTGGCCTAATCTCTGATGGGGATTTTTCCCCTTAATTTAGATGCCACATCTCTTTTCATGAGAAGAGTTAGATTCAACTAAAAACTAGCAAACTCGGTTGATCCTTTTTTCGAAATGACTGTTTTGGACAAACTTTGAACTATTGTATTCATCGTTGAAATTGTTCATGCTTGGGGTTTATTTTTATGCTCTTTTTTCCCAAAAAGTGTTCAGTTGCTTGTGAGTTTCGAAATTGGCTAACGTATGTCAAAGGGTGAACTTGATACTAGCCGATACCCAACCTTCGTGGTTAGTATTTGCTGCGTCCCTCGCGCGTGTGAATTGAAGAGGTTACTTAGGAATCATTTAAATGGAAGTCGTCTGATCTATTTCAACATCCTCGTGTTGAATGGAGGGGAATACTTAATGTGGGACATGCGTTTTTAACAAATAAAGATTTTTCCACCTGGAGACTACTTATGCTCGTAAAATTGCTTTGTTGAAATTCTAATTGTCTTCGACAATACAAGCGGAACAAGTGAGCAGGAAGGGTAGAGTTTTCATCGAATTCGTTTGGACATCGATGTAGTTGTTGGGCTACCCTTACCAGACATTGCAAGCAGTGTGCCGAGAAGGGCAGTAATGCTTTGAGGTGATCGGTAAGTCAACCGGACGTTGTCATAGAAATCCATTCGCTACATTGTCCCTGGCCCTCCTGTGGGCGTTTATATGCAAATTATTTGTCTCCTAGCCATAATTCAATATTAAAACCAACGCCTTGCTAATGGCGGGTGTTGTGGATGATCAGCTAGGCGAAACTGTGTATCAGGAGTCGCCTAAGATACTCCACTTTTGCAAGGCGCTTGGATAGGTTGATTCATGTTTAACCATTTATTCAATGATCGTTGGATGCCAACTTTCACATCTAATTATCAAGCAGTTGGAGCGCGGTGCGATCTCTTCTTTCAAACCATCTTGTGTTTATTATTTTTTTGCAATTATCATGACTTGAAGCATATTTTTCACTGTTCGTGCGAAACATAGACGGCCTTAGTTAAAGCTTCAATCGATCAGTCCTAGCACCCACAAAACCAGCTACTTTAAGCCTGGTTGATGATTTCTATTCACAAATCCGGACGACTTGCTCCATTGTCTGACGGACCACCAAGAGCAAACTTTTTTGCCTAACTAGTCCATGCATTTCGAATCCATGTACTGCGGCTCCTGTTTGAAACATCGTACCACTTTTGGTGCGCAGTTGCCATGATTTCTGCTTTCCCACCTAATCATAATGCTGTAATAACTATTCAATAAATTTGTTCACCCAGTCAAAAAGTGCTTCCAATTAGTTGTGTGTGTTGGTGATCCGTTTTTAACTGTAATCCAGTTTCTTCGCATGACCGTCGCCCATCGTGATGCCGCTGAAGGGCGTAGATGCCAGTCTTATAAACAACCCTGTGTTTGTTCTTGAAATGGCGCTTATTCGAACCCCATTAGCACGAGCTACCACTATGGTCTATGAAAGCTTTAGGTCATGCAGAAGGCGTGGAGCCACTTTTCCTATCTAGTTTGGGAGATCATACGAACCACATCTGACCAATGGGAAATGGCTGCGTCAAAAGAGGGTAGGATAAGTCAGTTCTTTTTTATCACGTGGTGCTGGAAGTTTGCAAAAGGTGACTCTCCCTTCGTACTAAAAACCTGAGCAAATTATATTTTGTTTGTAGAGTCGCCACTATCCTTCGTATTCCAGTTAACTTTTTTACACTCTACGGCGTCTACTTCATGAAGCGTTCAGGAGATAATGTGGTTGATTCTCTCTTGCTCTTCCTAGGTTAATTTCCCATCTTAATCACCTGTCTGGATTGGTTCTGCAAAATATGGGTTTGGGACTTAATTGTAGGCTTATCTGCAAGAGATCTCCGCTTTTCAAATGTCGGCCATTATCCAAAAGAGCGAGCTTAAAGAGGGAAGGTTTTAACATCAGACCTTAACTATTACAATTTCATACAATGTTTCATAAAACATTAACTCACATTTAGGCTGGTTTGGAAGGCTGTTTTTAAAGTTCATAGATGTATTCCTTTCCTTTGTTCTTTATTTACGATTCAAAATTTCTCAACTATGAGTTCTTTACCTTGGCTGTGTTGATACAGGGGCAGTTAATTCTTCAGAATTCCTTAATCTTCCACATGTCATCATGTGAGTGTGCAAAGTTTTGTGCTGCCTTCGCGATCGTTTCACTGACTTGTGTGTGTGCGTGTGTGTGGCAGGGACTGAGAGCCACACCCTAAGGCATTTAGGTAAAAAACATTTGACTAACTTGCAAAAAGATGTACTTCACACTCGTGGTTAATGCTAATAGGCAGGCAGGTTGTGTGGTGCGGTCCGGTGCCGTGTGATGTGTACCTACGCAAGTGTCGATTGGCGCAGTCTATATAACTGATTTACACACCAACACATAAAAGCTACTTGTCTTCCACCCATCCCCCGTCATCAAAACCGCAATTCAAGCTCTGTTTACATAATAAATTAGTTTTGGTAAAATTTTACGGTCTCTTTAATACAGACGTTTCAATCAATGGAACTCACCTCCGTGAAGAGGTGCGATAAGCTGAAAGCATGCACCTCCGATTTCTTTACACAACTGTACTTCGATGGAGCCACAAGAGACAACTCTTCAATCTCTTCACTATTTTGAAACAACTTCAGAACCTCGAATGCATGCGTTTTGAAATCCTGCATAAATGTCCATGCATGACTTTATAAGTTACTTTTGGCAGCTCATTTCTCACTATGTTTGACAAAGGTAACCGTTGTGGGTAAACAAGGTCTAGTGATATTTCGTGCGTTATTCATGGGAGGTGGTTGTGTATGTTTGTAAGAACAGAGCCGGAGAGGGGACGAAAATTGTCCTTCGCAAAAGTTCCGCAACGCATGTAATGTGAATTTGGGACGACACTCCGCTCCCCTAGACATCGACTTAAAGTCATTCGTTCTTTCTGTCTGAAATTTTTTTGACAGTCGCATAGGTTCGCATTGACTGAGGTCGCTGTTAATTTATGCGGAGTTTCTGCTTTGAATCCTTGTGCATCATTCACAATGAGTGGTTTCGTTTTGAGTGTTTTCTGCTCCTCTAATGTCACTCGCACCAAACAGTCTCTGTTCTGTGTAGTCGACATGCTGTAATGCCAAGCTTAGGAATGTGTTTGTATTTTATGCCCATGTCTTAGTGTGATTTTGATTTATTTCATAAATCCTTCCTACATTTGAAATGCGATCCCCATATTTGGCGAAGGCAGTTGCTAGCTGGAGTCTGTGGACTGCAGTGGTTGGCTCTGTAGGTTTTGTTCGTTCCGCAAATGTGCCAAATTGTTCTATACAATAGCTTGACATTTGTTTTTGAAATTGACTGAGCTAACGTAAACAATGTCATAGATATGTGTGAAACTGCGCATTGTTGGTATTTCCCATGCTAGGGAAGTGTTTGTAGGGTTGAATGCGACTCCAGACTTGAACTGCGCACCATTGCCTGTATGGCCGACAGTTGTGACCCGAACTTACTTATTTTGCAACTGGGGTTGTATCTTCTATATAGCGGTTACAGAGAGTTGCTTCTCGTCATAATTTTTATGCATAACTTGGAGAAGATGGGGTGGTGGGACACATTACCCGGACTCAAGTGCTCTAACTCTATGTGTTGACTCCGACGAAGCTGCATCAAGTTCAGAAATTTCCCATGTGCCTTGCTTGTAAAGAATTAAGTGGTCAGCGATTTCAAAAACTTAAGTGTTAAATATCTTCCCACCGTTTGGGGCCCACGGCGGAAGGGGAAGTTGGGCAAATGGCTCGTACCCGAATGACATGCACCAACATATGTTGATGACCTTTAAAAGCCATTCATTTTTTTGTATCACAAGTGCTGTTGTCAATTTGTTTTTCTTTGTTTGGGATCTATGATCGTCTTTGAATACCCTAGTGATTTGAATACCGTTGCGGTTGCTCTATACGTTCACCACTTCAACCCATCCCTACTTGTGTACATGCTTGGGGGCAGCCGAAGACTAACTACGGACGAGACAATGCAAAACACTTCAGTGCACCTCGAGCATGTGTCGAAACAATTTTATATACAAGAGAGGTAGGAGTAGGTGACCATGGTGAAACACCTCAAAGCTGATCGCGATACTTGTCTTTTTTTGGAAAATAAAAGTGGGATTTAAATGAAGGTAGTTAGGGCCAGGTTGTACGTGTGTAGAGGCAAACCTTTTTGCGATCATACTTAGAGACAGGTTCCTGCCACGTTGGAGGAGCACTTTGCCTTGTAACAGTGGTAACTTTGGCAAAACCCATGCCACTGGTTTTTTGCACTCCCAAATCATCGGTCATACGTAGCTAGCTTGTGGTGAAAGCTTTATTTGTTAAAATATTTCTTCACAGAGTGATGATTACGAAGGCGATTGACCTCCAAGGATGTTGAAGTTACTGAGGTGCTGTTGGCAGAAGCACCTGCTGTGCAGGTGGCCGATGAATGAGCTCTCAAGGTATGAAGCTCCGAAGTTGCTTCAACAAATGCCTTTTTAAAAAGACCGACATTTCTTAGATGGAAAAGTAGTGGCTGATTTTGTTTGACAACACGTGGGGCACGCTTTATTTGAGAGGTATGCTCAAATATTTTCAGCGATTTCCACTTGTTGTCGCTAAAA